AGAGAAAAATTGTAGGTATATTAAAGCACATAGGTAGCTCAGAATGATTGCAATGACAGCTTGAATGGTAGTTTAACAAAACTTAGCAGGCACAATACAGCATATGGCTAGCACAGCATTTGGCTAACATTTAGTAACAGTAACGGTCCTGTGTTTCCAGCCAACTTTGCCAAATAATATATAAAAATCACATAATTTCATAATTCAACTGGGCTATGTAGTAACACTCAATTAGTCCAAATATATCCAATATTTTATATTTATGCAAATAATCGTGGGGCCGGCAGCGCCGCCACCAAAAAACAAAAATCAACTCTCAACGGACACCAACGGTTCTCACTGTAACTAGCTCATCAAGACTGTAACTTGTTTACCTAAATTAATTGTGGGGTTCAGTCCTTGAGCCCATTATGTGCCTCTGTAACACTTTCCACTACCGCCCAGGGGATAGATATGAGGTGCATAATAAAAGAATTAAATAATAATCTACTTGATGCAACAATAATTACTTGTTTTATATAAATTAGACCACACAGGTAGTAACAGCCGCTACAGGCGGAAATGCACACTATATAATTAATTTATTTCTTTATTATGCACCCCCCATACCCATCCCGTTGGGGAGGGAGGGTTAGAGGCATATAATCGGTTCACGAACTGAATCCCATAGTTCATTTAGCTAAGCTAGTAACAATCTTTTGAAGCTAGTTACACAATAGTTAGCGTTACATACACATGTACACACACACACACACATATATATATATATATATATATATATATATATATATATATATATATATATATATATATATATATATGTCGTACCTAGTAGCCAGAACTCACTTTTCAGCCTACAATGCAAGGCCCGATTTGCCTAATAAGCCAAGTTTTCATGAATTAATATATTTTCTCTAATTTTTTTCTTATGAAATGATAAAGCTACCCATTTCATTATGTATGAGGTCAATTTTTTTTTATTGGAGTTAAAATTAACGTAGATATATGACCGAACCTAACCAACCCTACCTAACCTCACCTAACCTATCTTTATAGGTTAGGTTTTGTTAGGTAGCCGAAAAAGTTAGGTTAGGTTAGGTTAGGTAGGTTAGGTAGTCGAAAAGCAATTAATTCATGAAAACTTGGCTTATTAGGCAAATCGGGCCTTGCATAGTAGGCTCAGAAGTGAGTTCTGGCTACTAGGTACGACATATATATATATATATATATATATATGTCGTACCTAGTAGCCAGAACGCACTTCTCAGCCTACTATGCAAGGCCTGATTTGCCTAATAAGCCAAGTTTTCCTGAATTAATATATTTTCTCAATTTTTTTTCTTATGAAATGATAAAGCTACACATTTAATTATGTATGAGGTCAATTTTTTTTTATTTTAGTTAAAATTAACGTAGATATATGACCGAACCTAACCAACCCTACCTAACCTAACCTAACCTATCTTTATAGGTTAGGTTAGGTTAGGTAGCCGAAAAAGTTAGGTTAGGTTAGGTTAGGTAGGTTAGGTAGTCGAAAAATAAATAATTCATGAAAACTTGGCTTATTAGGCAAATCGGGCCTTGCATAGTAGGCTGAGAAGTGCGTTCTGGCTACTAGGTACGACATATATATATATATATATATATATATATATATATATATATATATATATATATATATATATATATATATATATATATATATATATATATATATATATATATATATATATATATTGTCACGGTAATCTGTCTAGGTAGAGATTCGGCCTGCTCCATCATCACCTATTCTATCATACCTATATATTCTATATATTCAAGAACTGCAGCCACAAGAGCAACAACACCTCTCAAAACGTTTAGACAGAGTACCATCAGACTACCTCCCCCTCGCCGCACCTGGTGACGCCTCAGGATCACGCCACCTCTGAAACAAGCAGTTAGGGTGAGCCAACTCCTAGTTATCGACGATACTAGTGTCACCTGGATGGCCGTCGTTCCCTATAAATAGAAGCCAGTCACTACCACGATTCCACGGTGGAGACATCTCCCGTCACGCAGGGTGCAGTCGCACCTCCACAGATCTCCAGTATCAGGTAATGATACTGGTAATGACTCCAAAGGATCAACACTTACGGGTTATTCATGCCCGTGCCACCTCTTGGGTGGCTTAATCTTCATCAATCAATCACCATGATTCAGATTACTCCTGAGTGCTCTACTGAGTAGACCTGTTGACATATCCTGGTGTGGTAGCAGGTTTATGCAGTCATGCTCAGAGTATTTTAGCACCACATTAAAGTAAAGTAAATTTGATTGTTCCTATTGTTTGTTTTGCACGTTGTATTAGAGCCAAGCCTGGATATTATTTTTTGTTTTGTAAATTGTTTAAAGTAATGTTTCATATTTAAAGTATTTTTAAATGTTTCTTCTCTCTATCTTATCCTACAGTTACCTCACCGTGAAGACAAATTGCAGTCTTAACTTTTTTGCTTTTTGTTTTATGTGAATTTTATTTTGCAATATGAGATATAAATTAGTTAGTTTAGTTCATTTATTATGCACCCCATACCCATCTTGTGGGCGGTAGTGGAAAGGGTTACAGAGGCACATAATGGGCTCAGGGACTGAACCCCACAATTCATTTAGCTAAGCAAGTTACAATCTTGATGAGCTAGTTACAAAATTCAATATAAGTATCACATCAACAATGGGTTCGAGATCGACCCCATCAGATACAGGTTCTAAATTAAGCAACTGACATGTGTAGAGCTAGTGTCACAATTGATGTTTGTCCTGCACACCGCCCCCCATCCAGTGGGCAGCAGTGGATAGGTTACAATCACTCAGTTACTACCTACAGTTAGCAAACTGGGGATATTTGACTAAAATTTCTGGTAGCAGATCATTTTGAATGAAATATTTACACATCGCTGGAACATTGGTTATAGAATTGTCTCTAAATTCACGTATCTTTTCGCACTCCATCACATAGTGACGGATATAAATATATACAAAATCTATAAAAAAAAATAAAAAATACAATATTGGTTTTATGGAGGCCCTGGCTGACCAGGTTCGAATCCTACAGGGGTAGAGTATTTTTTTTATGCATATAAGCTTGATGTACAAACGTTACTCGTGCGGCCCCAGCATGCTCTAGTGATTTGATTAAATATCTATACCCAAAATTGTCAAGAGGGCTGTCGGGTATTGGGTTAGGATGATAATTTGTTGTTTTAGATTCAGCTACTCGGAACAAAAAGTTCCAAGCAGCACAGGCTATGGTGAGCCCGTCGTACTTACCTGACACAGATGTACTCGCCTAGTTGTGCTTGCTTTGGCTCTTTGGTCCCGCCACTCAACCGTCAATCTACTGGTATACAGATAACTGAGCTTCTCGAGCTCTATCATATCTACATTTGAAACTGTATGGAGTCTGCCACATCATTTCCTAGTGCATTCCATTTACTAACTATCCTGACACTGATTTTTTTTTTCTTGATGTTTCTGTGATTTATTTAGGTACTCAGCTTCCACCTGTGTCCCCTTGTGCCTGTACCACCCATGTTAAATAATCCATCCTTGTCTACCCTGTCAATTCCCCTGAGGATTTTGTATGTGGCGAGCATGTCTCCTCGAACTCTTCTGTCTTCCAGCGACGTGAGGTGCATTTCATGCAGCCGTCCTCTTACCTCATGCTTCCTAATTCTGGGACTAGCCTAGTGGCATATCTTTTATATAAATTATATAAATACTGTTTTTGTGTAAATAATGTCTCATTATTTATGGTAGCTACTAGACTGCATATTGAGAATTTATCCGAGGGGCCGTCATCTATATAAGAGAATGTCTGTCTACAATGTTAAATGGGATTCTTGTACTGTTATATGTCTATTTGTACTCACTGAATTTGTGCGCCCCTTGAGGGACTTGAAGTAGAGGGGGGTAGAAATAGCCTAAGCTACTCTATCCCTTTGAGATGTATTTATTGCTTATCTCAATAAACATACTTGAACTTGAACTTGAACTTGAATGTCTGTCTGTCTAAAGTAGAAGGTCAGACGCTTGGGGCTAGCCTCACCCAAATTTTCAAGATGACACAAGATGGTAGGAGGTCTCCTTGGCCAGTAAGGGTGGGCACCAATGCTATTTTTGTTTAAGAAATATCTCCGCACATAGTGGCTCCTGCGATTTTCATGAAGTATGAAACCGGAATTTGTAGATTTGTATTTAGTAAAGTTTGGCTGTTTTTCAGCATTTCATAATATTAATTTTTCTGAGAGAAGGAAAGTGGAAGATAGGGAAGGAGACTATTGGGCAGGGATGGAGGGGGGTAAGGGAGAAATGTGGTGATTATGGGGAGAGATTAGGAGATAATCACGGGAGACATCTCCCGTCACGCAGGGTGCAGTCGCACCTCCACAGATCTCCAGTATCAGCTCTTGATACTGGTAATGGCTCAAAAGGGCCACCACTTACGGGCTATTCATGTCCGTGCCACCTTTTGGGTGGCTTAATCTTCATCAATCAATCAATTAGGAGATAATGTTGGGGGAATGCACATGGATGTTCTCTCTACAGCATTATACTGTACTACAAACTACAAAGGGAAACGTGGGATGCCTGACTAGGATTGTTATCTTGCAAAAGTTTAGTTTAGAACACCCGGGTTATTATAGTTCCTGGTTAAATGAGGACCTTATACTTAATTCCATCACTGCTTACAGGATTAGGGTTCATAATACGATAATGCAACATTGGTCAAATAATGAGTATTGTAGTGTTTATAAGAGTGAGGTGAGATAGAGGTTCATGAGGTCAGGGCTGACCATGGTGGGAGCCCAGGTCATGTGAATATTAAGTTTCCCTGCCCCGGCCTATACCATTAACCCCGCTAACAAAACACATGCACTTTGTTCACCTTTGACACACACACACACACACACACCCATTAAATATGGGTCAATAGTAGTGATTAAGGGGAGTAAGGAGCTGGGAGAGGAGAGAGTAGAGGGAGAGAGGAGGTGGTGGGAGGCAGCGCTGCTCCACAAGGGCAAAATGTCAACAAAGTGGGCTGGCGTCGCCCTCTAGTCACTAGATGTTTAACCTTATTTGTTCACCTGCAGCGACTCCCACACACTCTAAGGGCAAGATGACTGGCTCACACCGTGTAGTTCTCCTGGCCTGTGGCTCCTTTAACCCACCTACAAATATGCATCTGAGAATGTTTGGTGAGTAGCAGGCTCTCACTCTGCTAGTAATGGCTGGCACTCCCAGCGCCGGTTTGATCCTCTCTCCCAGTACCTTCCTCTTTCACACTTTTGACAGGTTTTCCTTGTGGTAGATGCTGCTCACGGCCGTGCTCATCAATATATTCTTTTATGTGGTGTACACAGTCTGTAAGGCTACAAGTACTGCTGCTTCAAAACTGCTTCCCAGCGAGTCCAACGGAGGAAAAAATATTCCGATAACCCCTAATAAAACCTAGATAATTGGTTAAATTTTACAGCACCACTTGATTATAATAAATGTACAGTATCCATTAAGGTTTCACACTAGAGGGGTACAAGCCTTGACAGATACAGGTCACATTGTACCCAAAACAGTTTGCCAACGTATTTAAATCCTATATAACCCAACCTAGCTTGATCCAACCTAGTTGAACCCAATCTGTGTTGATGGCATATATGATAATGGAATGCTGGATTCTTTTGATGTAGGTTGATTACACACTCCATTGCTTGGAAAGGTTTAATAAAGTTCAGGTACTTCTATTTTCAATTCCACACCACCTCTTTAGGAGTAAAGATTTAAAATAGTTTAAATTCTGCAGTCCCCACAAACACACAGTTGGGATGTGTAGGTAGTGATGGTAAGATTGTTATCCCCCTTCTTCCTCGCCTAATTCTGCTTGCGGGGGTTGAGCTTCGGCTCTTTGGTCCTGCCTCTCAATTGTCAATCAACTGGTGTACAGGTTCCTGAGTCTATTGGGTTCTTATCATATCTACATTTGAAACTATGTGCAGACTCTGCCCTCACAACATCACTTGCAAATACATTCCATTTGTTACATTTTTCACTCCCTCAGCACTCTCAAGTAACAGATTCTAGGGTTATCCCAGATTAAAATCACTCCCAATGCACAGTGATATCTCTTAGTTGTTCCACAGTTCCATAGGGATCTGTTGCATTTAGACATTCTAATTGCATTGTGATAGTGTCATTTATATCATTAAATGACATTTTGTCATTACATTATGAAAAGCTATCCACCTTTTGTGTTATTCAAAAACAAAACTAAAAAGTACCTAATTTCATCTTCATAGTTTTCTACCTTGTTGCTTTAAAATCGCACTGTATCTAGTGCTACCCAATCTCCCAATCTTCATGTACCCAATCCAAACAACTTTACCATTGTGTTCATCGCTGTCTTCTTATATATGCTTTAAATTTGCTGTATGGTGCCTATTAATCTTTGTTTAAATTACCAATCAAGCTGTCAATGCAATCAATCAGAGCTTTAATATACCAATGTGCTTTAATATACCTACTATATTCTCTCATCTCATTTTTTTTCTTTCTTGCAATGTATCTGTTATCATTTTATTAATTCTGCTAGAATTTACCTACTTAAAATTATCTGTTAGATTATGGACCTGCCCAAAACGCTGCGCGTACTAGTGGCTTTACAAGATTGTACATACTATGCTATGTATTCTCACAAACCCAATGTACCTTCTTGTATATAAATAAATAAATAAATAAATTTAAATCTGTTTTTAAAATGAAGTCATTGTTTTACAGTATTTTGAAGATTGAAAATTGGTTTGTTTCTTATCAAGCATCCCTGAAGTGTACAACCATTTTAAGTGGAACAGACACATGGGAGTATGAGGTTTGATCTGAATCTTACGTGGTGTTGAGCATTTTCTCTTTTGTTACGTATGATTTGGGAATATATTTGATTAGAAGTATGGGTAAAGGACTGCAGGGAATTGCAGTATTGTACTGTACATAAGGTGACTAAAGAATTTTGTATTTTAGGCTGTAATATACAAACTTCAGAGTTGATTGAAAATTGCCTCCTAATATTTTATGGCACTATGTACGGTTGGATATATTTGTCTGCATTATGGTCAAGTGACACTTCCACCTCGAGAAAAACAACTCAAATTATAAAAGAAGAGGCTTTGCCAATCTGCATGAGATGAGAGAATTCAGTACACTACTGCAAGAGCTCGTCAATTGGGATTCCAGTAACCTGAATATATGAGTACAGTACTAGTCACCACTGGAGACGGTGGCTAGCCAGCTGCTCGGAGATGGTGGCAGATAGCTGCTACTCATACCAACACACTCACTTGTTTCATCATGTGCATTTGCTATTATTGGTAGTTCCTGCCATTAATAAATTGTGCAGGGCAGAATTTATGATTTTCTTGCTTTATTCAGAATATATTGTAATATTTAGTGTGTGGAGGCGCATTAGTCTGTGAAAAGTGTGAAGAAAAGATAAGAATTGGTGTTTAGTGGTGGCAACACTCTCACCTCCAACTCCATCACACACTTCACAAAACAAATGTACAATTTTCTGTTATTTACATCTGTTGACATCATGAAAGAGTGGTTTTGGTCGTACTTTACTAGAAATAAAATAGTGTTGCTTAGCCTGCAATAAGTACACTTTGCCTATGCATTTAAAAAGCTGGTGTAATATTGCTTATCCACATACTAGTTTCATATTTGAGTAATACAGTTGTGCCCAAATTACCTGTCACTTGTAATATGCACTTATAAAATGTATGAGTGGTGCAGTATAGGCCTATACCAATTATGAAATAGGAAATGTATATGTTTATCTCTCAGAATGTTCGGTAATACGTTTATTGCTTGTGATGTGTATCTATGTATGTATTAACACGATGTACTGAACGGGGTGAGAATAGCTTGAGCTACCTCATCCCTTTGTGTGTATTTTACCTCAATAAACTTATTTCAATTTCAATTTCAATTATGAAACCTGGTCAATTGTGTGCTTGCAAATACATTAAATATATTTTCATTAAAGTGAACTCTGTATTACTAAAATTTACTTTACATTTTATTACATTTAGAAAGATTACTTAAAATTTTACATTTATTTTTCAGAAATAGCAAGAGATTTTTTACATAGAACGACCAATCATAATGTTGTTGTGGGCTTAATGTCTCCAGTACACGACAAGTATGGGAAAGAGGTAAGCGATACAATACTCTAATTCTGTAAACAAAATTTGAAGTACAGTACAGTACTGTAATCTTAAAATTTAATTGAAAGTAGATTTGTGCTGTTTTTATTGTTCCTAAGTACTGTAGTTAGAGATTATTGTGATGAAAGCAATGAATACAGTAATCTAGACAGTTTTGTTAAAGATGACCTATAAAATACTATTACTTCGTTTACTCAGAATGTTCGGCAATATGTTTATTGTTTGTGATGTGTGTCTATATATGTATGAACACGTTATACTGAATGGGGTGAGAATAGCTTGAGCTACTTCATCCCATTCTGTGTATTTTACCTCAATAAACTTATATCAATTTCAATTACTTCGTTTTGTTTGGCCTGGGCGGAGCCACTATTATTTGCGTTTGGTGTTGAAATTTCTTTGAAACTGTTTTTCATTTTATCTTGGGTGTTTCTTTGCCTTTGGCTTGCTCAAACTCCTCCTAAGTCTTCATGCTTCTGGTGGTCATTTTCTTTGTTTGCAGCCTCCTCCTTTTCTGGCTGTGCATGAGATGGCTGGTTTTTGGAGGTTTCCTTTGATAATGGATGCTTGGTTGGTTCGGCCGAGGTTGTGTCTATTTTTGTGTCCAGTTGCGACTGTTCATTGTTACCTGTTGTCGATCCAGTATCCCTGGTCCCTTGTTCCAGGGCCCATTTTTCTCTGGTACTCCATAGTGTTGTCTGGTTTTGACAGACTGTGGTCTTCCCTCGGGCCTGTAATGTTTGTTGGGCTGCGACACTGTCCACGGTGTTTTTGGCGCATTTTTGGTCTCCAGAATTTTGGCAGTCCACCAGTGTTAATGACCTAATGGGTTCCTGAGTGTGCCTGGATCATGTTAAGCTTGTGTGTTTTTGGGGTGGGTTACATGCTGCTTTTTCCTCTTTCCATGGTGGGGGGGGGGATATTGTCTATAGCGCTCCTCTGTTCCTGGTGTGTTCCCCATTTAGTTTTGTTCTCTGTGGTGACATTAGCAATAAAGAGCCCTTCCAGAAAACTAATGTTGAATGTAATGAAACTCATTTTTCTGATGGGTCTTTGCGGGCTTCTTGGGCCCCCCCCTCCCTAATCCTTTTAGGGGTTTCAGTTTTGTTTTCCTGGCTAAAGGACTGAGATTATCTGGCAATGCACAAGTGTAATTAACAAGTGAACTGCTTTTTGAATAGGTGATTTGCTTAGTTCAGGGTTCTAATTTTCTATACCTGTACAGTACTTCATTTACCCTGCTGATTATCTGTTTTGGTTTGTTCCCTTCTTGTGCCTCTACACAATGGGCAAGATTTTTATCTCTTGTCTCTGGTAGGTTTACAATAACTTGGAAAGGGGCCTGGTGTGGATCGAATTGGTTGGCGCTATCCAGGTAGGTAGCAACAAGGTGCCAGCGTAAACCCACCAGAAAGAGTCGTTTCATTACATTCAGCATTAGTTTTGTGTGTATAACTCTTGTTTATCTTTTGCAGGGGCTGGTTAGTTCCAGTGATCGCATTCAGTTGTTGCGTCTGGCCCTCAACTCCTCTTCATGGGTGCATGTGAGTGAGTGGGAGACTCGTCAGGATGACTGGACACCTACTAGGGAAGTTATTCAATATCACCAGGTTAGTCAGTGATTATTACAGTATTACAAAAGACATATTGAAGCATGTCACTCTATTAATTTGGCTTTGTCTTGATTTATCTTTCAGAAGTGCTTCACTATTGATAATTTTTATTGTAAGCTTCTGTTATTGCTACAACTGTTTTTTAGCTTCTTATGCTTTACAGGGGATTGAGTTTTCATAGATTTGCGAGTAAAGTTATAATATATATATAGTAAATGTCGTCTTAGTATATGACAGACTACATAGAGACCTACACTCTTTGAATTTAGGGCTCTCTCTCAGGAAGGTATGGGGGGTTTCTGCCTGAACAATACCCTATTATTTCATTAGGATAACAGCTCAGTTATTTAGTAACAAGGAGTGACAGTTATTTAGTAACAAGGAGTGACAGATATCAGTATGGCTATTGAGATCATAGCAACACGGCAACATTAGTGTATGTGTATCTGCCTTCAGTCACAAAAAAAAGATAGACATGTGAAATATTTAAATTCAGAAGTCCACTGTAAGACCTATCAGTTTCACCTTGCCATGCTAGGTAAGAGCGGTAGCATAGGTTAAAGTGAACTTGTTTTCACATTCCTAACGTATAGTATAAATTCAAAATTTCCTTGGGGCACATTACCATGAAATAGACCAGCCTTCTAATCCCCACAAAGTGCAAATTTAAATGAAATTTGACTCGCAAATCATTATTCAGGAAGGTGGCAGAATGCAGTCTTGAATACACACACTAAATATTCCATGGTGAACTATGGTAACTGTCAATATGGAATAGCATTTTGGAATTGGTGTAGCAAGCAGTGCATGAGGAGCAAATATTTTCAGTTAAAATATTTTGAAAGACTTGCTGCCAATGATAATTTTAGCCTACCTTTGTGATATGAAGGCAAATACTGTAGATATATAATTGATAGAAATTAGTAGTTTGGCATTGATGGATATCAGTTTGACTTATGTTCTTGGTACTCAAAACTCTATTATAGTTAGATTTATAATGTGTTCAGATAAGAACTCTCATTCCTATTGTTTTTTTTGTTTTAGAAACTACATACACTACATGTACATGCTGTAGGTACTTTATAATTGAGCTATGAGACTCTGAAAGGTGCCAACATATTGTATGCATTGGGAAAAACAATGGTTAAATGGTTATTGCAAGCCTATAATATTGTGTCCTCTTCCCTTCATTATCCAATTGGGATGTGCAATAAATGACCATTGTTTCCCAGAAGTTATCTTGTCAGGAGGCAAGACAAGTGTTTAATCATTCACATGTTTAAAAATATTGAAAGTATCTTCTTGGAGCTGTCATCAGTTGTTAACTAGCTAATTGAATAGGCAAGCTTTTTATATATACGGTATATGTGTGTGTGTGTGTGTGTGTGTATTAAAGAACATTTTGTGGCTAAAGGATCTGAGGTAAAAGAATTAATGGTTGAGATGAAGAGCCATTCCATCATGACCCATTCTCCTGTTTAGATAGTACTGTACTTTCAGGGGAAAGCCTCTTGTGACTCCTTATCGCTACCATGTCTGATGTAGGTGCCATCTACTAGGCACTACCTTATCAGGCACAGAGTTCTCTTGTCTACCGGGGACCCAGAGCCAGAACATGGTCCTCTCACAGAGTTGAAGGAATCTTTGGCATTTATATGTCATTCCTTTATGGCACCACCGAGGACGGCGCCCAGAAAGTCGGCGAGTCAAAACAAACCACAGCTGGCTACTTCTTAGACCTGGCTCTCCCCTTCCTCTCCCAGGACGGGAGGGCTGCACGAACAAGCGGCACGACGGCGGTGATGTGACATTTGCTTGTTTCCTTGAGAGTTGGGGGAGTTCTACCTCCATGTTCGGTTTTCAGTTGTACTTTTCTTACATGTGGTGTTTATGTTATGCCTACCTCTCTGGGTGCCTAACCCCAGTCGATGGCAGACAAGGAATACCCCTAACCCCAGGATTTTTTTTCCAGAAGCCCCTTTCACTCTCCACCCTGCTTTCAGCCCTGTTTTGGGTTCAGGGCAGGGTTGAACTTGGGATGTGGCTTGGGTGGCTTTGGGGGTCCCTCCTCCTAATTCTGGCACAGAGGCAGTTGAGCCTCTTGGTTGAAGACTTTGTAGGCCTTCTTACTATCAGGACCCTTCCTTCGAGGCATTTCCCCTGTACTCTGCCGGTCTTTCCTGGCGGTGGGTGTGGATGATGTCCCCAGCCCCGGGGCCCCTCAACTACAGTTTCCAGGGTTTGGGGAGAGTCGGAATTGGGGCTGTGGGTCCCCTTTGACCCTTGGAGCCTTCTGTGGAGGGTCTTCAGTTGCAGGGTGTGGTTTTTTGTATCCTCCCTACCTCCCTGTATGAGTTGGATTTGCTTGCGACTCTTTCCCCAGAGTTTCGCTTCCTGGTGCCTTTGGAGCACAGCGAGCCTACCTTGTAGGTTCCCTCTTTGGTTGCTCATGAAGTGTATTTTACGTACCTCCTGCATAACCCAGCTTGTGCCTTGCCAATGAGTTCGAGTCTTCATTTTGAGTTTGGGTACTGTTACCCCCTTTCGGGTGCTATTCGAGTTTCTGGAGTCATCCTGGCTTGCAGACAATCTCTTGTTTTCTCTTGATTCTCGGTGCATTTTTTTTGTCGGACCCGCTCGCCTGAGTGGGTCCAGGCAACGTTGTATGGCTCCACTGACTTCATTCGTACTGTTCCCATGGTTCATTGTCTCAACTGAGAGGTTTACTTAAGCCCCTGCATCTTTGGAGTTGGACATTGCACGTAGCTCTTCTTCTGGGTTCTTGGGGTTCGGCTTTCCATGCCATTCATGTCCTAGGAGTATACAGTGTCTTTGCCAACAGTCTATCTAGATTCCGTCCTGACACCCCCTCCTTCCTCTGGCTCTGAGACGTTTGGGTGCCTTGTCAAGGTGGGGGTTTCTGCACCTCTTTCTCCCAGTCCAGCTGTTGCTCCTGATCGTGGTGCAATTGGAGTCCTACAAGGGGAAGGTGATCCTTCTGGCTCCTTGTGGCCAGCCCAGTCTTGGTTTCCGGCACTGCATGCTCAGTATCCAAACTTGACAGTTTTTCTGTGGCTCCACCTCACCAAGTCGGTCCAGCAACTTACTACACTGTTCCAAATTTCTCTACCAGTCTTCGCATTCAGAGTTTCTGACGCGGGTTTTTTTTTATCACGTTAGGCCTTGGTAGCAGCCAGCTGTAGTTTGTTTCGACTCGCTGACTTCCTGGGTGCTTTCCTCAGTGGTGGCATAAATGAATTACTGTACTTGATATATAAATGCCACAGCTCCTCTCGCCTCTGTGAGGGGGACCAGGTTCTGACTCTTGGGTTCCTAGTAGGCCAGAGAACTCAACGACTGATGGTACCTAGTAGATAGCACGGACGTTGGAGATGGTAGCTTAGGGCAGCCACCAGGGCTCGTGCGGAAATTGGTGTTTCTCAGTACAGTACCTGTACTATCTAAATAGGAGGATGGGCCAAGATATTTATACAGCCAAGAATTCTAAATTTACAGAGGTTATAGTTCCAGATTCTCAAGATATTTAAAAAGTAACGCTGGCAAGTGAAGTATTTTCACACTATATAGCATTAACATTAAACATTATATGGTGAATGTGAGCTTCAGATTATATGTGTGTGCTTGAACACTTGTGTGTGTAGTAGAGTGATTATTTGGAGATGATAAAGGTTCAAAATGATCATGCAGCTAACTATAACGTTAATGTATGCTTTGCCTGTAATGTATTTTCATGCTGGGGCAAAACCTAAATTTCTTTGTTTTTTTTTAGATTGTTATGGGTGACTAAAGTTAAAATTAAAAAAAACAAGAATCAAGTCATACCTGTGGGACAACTTAGCAAAGGTTAAAGTAAAAAAACTTAGCAAAAAGCTAAAGTAAACTTGGTTACTTGAGAACAGTGCAATACTGTACTTACTAGCTAGTGACACTCGGAGGAAAGAAACTTGCCACATATATCCAGTCTAAATATTAATTCTGTCCTTTTAGGATTTAATTTAAAAATATATTTAGTATACTTGATTAATGAATATGACCAGAACAAATGAACCACTAGCATTCAGCTGGAAACATAATGGAAAGCTGCATCTTATTAAAGCAAGTTTTAAAATGCTGCAGTATAACATTATTACAATCTAATGAAGAGAAAAATTAAATGAGTGATTTGAACTTAGTAAGACAGTTTGGAAGTGCTTTAAGAAGAATTTTTTTTTGTCATTTATTAAAACTGGTATAAAATAAGTAAGCATTCTGGTGTATTTTGCTTAACTATTTATAAATTATTCAGTGAGCACTATAATAATTCTTGCTGAAAACTTTCATTGGAGAGGCAGCAATGCCACTGTGCTCTCCCTTTTTTTCAACTTCAGACCTCCTTGAGGCTTTAAAGACTGCCCATTTCTGTAATGTAATCTCATATAATTCTGTATTAGGCACAGAGAACAGTAGATTACATGATTTGTCGAGCAGCATCATTAATGATCTTAACTAGGATATTGATTTAATTTGTTATACAATAGAGTTCATTCTTATTCTCTGAGTGTAACACTTTAATACTGAATCTGAATTCCAGGATATTTTTTCTTCATATTCTTGTATAGTGATTAGAGAATCAGAGGATATCAGCGGAAGGCTTCATTGAGTCTGTGCTCACCATAGGATGTTTCTGGATTTCATTGTCAAAGCAGAAATCACTTTGAAACAGGCAAGGTTAATATTTTCTTTTTTGAGTCTAAGGTAATAAATCTAATTATGTGACCATGTTTCATCAGTTAATTATTTTGAAGTTTATTTAGAAAAGAAACAACTCTTAAGAAATACAAGAGACGAGTGGTAAACTTGATCTTTCCTCTATTGTTGCTCACTGCATTGTAGTTACCAGTTAAAAGACCAGTGAAAATGTGCATTTTTTTTAAGTATATGCCCCAATACCTGACTAGATTCGATACAGTATTATCTACATTCTTTCATGTTTACTCTGAGTATGTAGAGTTTTGATAAAATCTGATTACTGTACAGTATTTTGAAATTCATACAGAACATCGATCATTGTGTCCAGCAACTTTTGTAAAATTTAAGAATGCATGAAAATATATATATTTTTTTAGTTATGCTTTAGTATAATGAAGAGGAACAAGAAATTAGTACAGTATTGCTACAGCGGATGAGTTATGATGGTAAGAAACTCGGCATACAGTGTTGGTTTTTGCTTCTTGATCTTTGGTTGAGAGGTATTGATGATGACAGATCATGGCAAGCTTTTGATGTTATTATAAACATGATCTTTCTTCTTTAATACACACAGAATTTGATTAAGTCCACTTTACGCAAACTGGGCAGCTCCTCCAGTGTCAGCCGTCAGGGACGGGTAGGACCTGAGAATGTTTTCTCGTCGGTAATTGGTTTGCATGGATGGGGAGATTCTTCTGAGAGAGGCAGTAAATCGTAATAGTTTATCAATGTTGAAGGTTTTGAATAGAACGATTCATTCTTGAACATACATGAGCTTTGATGTAAGCTTTGTGGCTGATCTATTTCTGTCTCTTATGTTTTTTAATGCTTACCAGTGTAATTTATTATAAAAAGTTGTTTTTTGTTAACATTTGGAGACATTCAAACAGTCAAAGCTTTGTCTCGTGTGTTGAAGGATTCATGCCTCATTAATAGCTGGGTTTGTTGTTCACTTTTATTATTAGAATAATATATTCTCTGAAAGCTTGCAATTTAACCTTGTAATGCATTGGTGTTTATATCTATAGATCTTATTAGCCCCTACTATCACTATTTTAATGGGACATCTTTCATTTTAACCCCTTGGCCAGTTTTGGCTAATGGTATTACTAACACCAATTCTGTATGTCGAGACTGAAGACTAGTTGCTGCAACTAGTATTTTAGTTTCGGTTGCATTAATTTGAAATTTGATGGGCTTCATCATTACCATTTCAAGACATGTTTTCTATTTTTGAGGGTCGTATAAGTCAAGATCAGATCACACTCGGCGGAGGAAGGTCAGACTGGCCAAGGGATTTTCTGCTCTTTGTGCAGCTATTTTTATCCTTTTACCTTCCTGCTTAGAGGAAGGTGTAACATCCAGAATCTATCTCGGATATTTCAGGTCCTTGTTAATTGTATGCCTAGTGTTATAGGTCTGTGATTGTGTGTTGAAACATGTAGCAGAGTGCTTGGTTTGTTGGTTGAGTAACGGAGCAAGTGGGAAAAACTTGTGCCGACTTTGTAATAAGTAAAAATTATGTGTAAAAATTAATTAATTGAATGATTTAAAGGACAGTAGACCTTCTAGCCTGCCTTCCTTCTCTGCTGCAGTGTTGATTCTTCTCTCTTGTAAACACTGCTATTACTGAGGTTGTGAGGAACTAACAGCAACTGTCCCTCCACTTCTTGTGAGCCTGGTAATACAGGGTACCTATTATACAACTGCTCTTCACAATTATTGTTTTCTTATTAAAATTCTTAGAATTTAGAATTAGACAAAAAATTAATTCCATAGTACAGTATTGCTGTGAAATCTTTTGGCCTTCCTGAATATTTCAGCTTCTCTTTCTTCAAGAAGGTGGTTACTAGGTACCTAATAACAGAAATGTTTGATTTTGTTTGAAGTTAGTCTAATTTTTTAAATTAAGAGTACGAGTAATTAAGTTTATAATTGCACTCTTTTAAAGGAATATTGCCAAGAAATAAGTGGAAACTAATAAATTTGTTATATAATAAATAATATTAAGTTGATTTAGATTGAAGGAAGCATTTGTTACTATTTTGGTTTGTTAATAACCAAGTACAGCTTCCCTAGTACATGGTGTGCTTTACCTTAAGTGTAAACTGTCATTACTTCCATTATACATTGAAAGTTTCTGAATGAAGTGTATAAGGAGCAAGTAATCTTAGGCTTAATAACATGGCATGATGTATTCTATTTTGGTAAACATTACTAGAACAGCATATTAGAATGTATTGGCAATCTGATTCAATAAAAATAAATTAGGGTTAAATGTACATGTTCCTGTCTGTTAACAAGTTACCATACATGACTGCCCCAGTTGAATCTCTGATTTTGGTTTAACATGTGATGTGGTGGCGTCGACCAGGCCTCCAACCAGGAGGCCTGGTCGACGACTGGGCCGCGGGGACGCTAAGCCCCGGAAGCACCTCAAGGTAACCTCAAGGTGGGTGGAGGTGAGACAAACTTGGGGAGGGGGCAAAAGGATTTTGAAATATAAGCTGAATGACATAGTTGGCAAAACTGTAGTGAACTGAGCTTGAGGTGGGAAATAAAAAAGTTTGAACAGGAAGAGAGAGAGAGAGAGATAAAGGTCAATGAAAGAAGAAGGAACGTGGTTGATAAAAATGTACTATAATGTGAAACAAAAATTGGAATTTGTTTTGCTGAAGAAGCAGAAAAATGCAAATGTATTAAAAGTTGACATGTGCTGAATGAGGTAGTAGATCATTAATAAAAGTTTTCATATACAGGGGTACCTCAGTTTTCGTATTTAATCCGTTCCCAGAGACGGCACGAAAACCAACATATACGAAAACTGAAATGAATTTTCCCATGAGAAATAATGTAAATTGAATTAATCCGCTCCACACCCCCAAATATATTAACTAAAAAAGACTTCTTATACAGAATAATACTCTAAGGTACCTTACCTTTATTGAGGAATCTTGTTGGCATATGGAAGACAGTGAGAAAGGGGGGTGGAGGAGAGGTGTTAGTGTTTGGAAGGGGAGTCCCCTTCCATTATAACAGCAATGATGACATTACTGGGATCCGGGAAAGTTGGAAATGAACAAATTTGTAATTTTGTTGTACCACAATCAACATAATTTGTATTTCTATATGCAATAAATGTAAATTTACATGTTTGGATAGGATCTTCATATAAAGTAATTTATTAACAATAAATTTTTTTAGATTGACAGAGTTTGTCAGGTTGCTCGATGAAGGACTTTAATACTGTACTGTTCATCTACCTAACCCAACACAATACTAAAGTTATTGTACATGAGTTTGGCAATTTGTTATGACTGCCAGCTGCTGAGGCTTCACCAGCTGCAAGTCCTTGGTATTCTGCTGAGACTTCACCAGTTGCAGGTCCTTGGCATTTTGCTGAGGCTTTACTGGTTACAGGTCCTTGGTATTCTGCTGAGGCTTCACTGGTTGCAGGTCCTTGGTATTCTGCTGAGGCTTCACTGGTTACAGGTCCTTGGTATTCTCCTGAGGCTTTACTGGTTACAGGTCCTTGGTATTCTGCTGAGGCTTCACTGGTTACAGGTCCTTGGTATTCTGCTGAGGCTTCACTGGTTACAGGTCCTTGGTATTCTGCTGAGGCTTCACTGGTTGCAGGTCCTTGGTATTCTGCTGAGGCTTCACTGGTTACAGGTCCTTGGTATTCTGCTGAGGCTTCACTGGTTACAGGTCCTTGGTATTCTGCTGAGGCTTCACTGGTTGCAGGTCCTTGGTATTCTGCTGAGGCTTCGCTGGTTGCAGGTCCTTGGTATTCTGCTGAGACTTCACTGGTTACAGATCATTGGCAATTTTCACAAAGTTCAGTCACTTGTAGCTTATCTTCAGTGGATAGCATAGCTTGGTTTCTCTTAGCACCTCTGTGTCAAATACTGCAGCCACTAGATATGGGTTAGCAAAAATAATCAAAATTTTTGTCAAGGCAAACAAAATTTAGGAAAGAAAATCTTTTGGTAATGGAGCTGTACAGTGTAGAATCAAGCTAGGCAAAAACCCATGACTGAGCAGGTATACAGGGTTGGGATGTGTCCACTCGGGGCACTATATGTAGGCCTCCTGGTGGTAAAAGAGTTGCCTCTTTTAGCAGAAAATTGTGCTCTACAGCCTGTATATGCAGTTTTTAATAATCAATTATTGTTTGTTATAATATCAAATGTTCTACTTCTTTAATTTGTTAATGCATTTGTTTTAATGTAATTTGTGTTATGAGCATAGTTCAGCACATTTCATTCAGTAACTAATCAACAAAACCTAGTAACCTGAAATTCTATTTGACAAACAATCAAGCACTTCAACTCAAATTTTTTGGGGGGTTTCATGTTCCATATTACCCAAATTCCTATTTGGGTTAAAATGTAAAAAGAAGAAAGTTAAAGAATCTTGAAAGTAAATTTATATGGATTACTCGAAGATTCGATTTACCAGAATCTGAATGCCTTCAAATTGATCTAGATAAAATAAGTGCTTAGAGTGCCATGTGGCACATAGAATTTAATATGAATAACTGCCATGTTATGGAATGTGAAACCAGAGAAAATAAACCACACACAACTTAAAAATTATGTGGAAAGGAAATAAAGAACTCAAACAAAGAAATAGATTTTGGGGTGGTTTTGGATATTAGACTATCACCAGAAGGAACACACAAAGATCATTGTGCGAGGAGCATATGCATTGATTACCAACTTCAGAATCGCTTTTAATTATATGGATGGTGAAATACTAAAGAAACTGTTCATGACTTTTGTGAGACCAAAATTGAAATATGCAGCAGTTGTATAGTACCCAAATCTGAAGCAGCACATCAATTAACTGGAAAAGATGCAAAGGTATGCTACAAAATGGCTTCCGGAACTGAAAAACACGAGTTATGAGGAGAGACTAGAGGCGTTAAATATGCCAAAGCTAGAAGATAGAAGAAAAAGAGGTGATATGATCACCACTTGCAAAATAATAATGGGAATTGATCAAATTGACAAAGGAATTCCTAAAACCAGCAACCTCAAGTACAAGAGGTCATAGAGTCAAGCTAAGGAAACAAAGGTGCCAAAAATATATTAGAAAGTTTTCTTTTGCAATCAGGACGGTAAACAGTTGGAAAAGATTTAGTGAGAAAGCTGTAGAGGACAAAACCGCCAGTAGTTTCAAAAGTGTTATATGACAAAGAGTACTGGGAAGACGGGACACCACGAGCGTAGCTCTCATCCTGTAACTACACCTATGTAATTAAGCTTGGGTAATTACCTGTGTGCATTGGGAGTTAAGGAATCAGGAAGAGCTACTGCATAAAGAAGTCAAGCTGTACTGAACTGCAATTAGGAGAGAAAAGTTTGAGCATTCAATATGCCTATGATCATCTGGATTTCAAACTGGCCCATTAATTTGATAATACACACTGGTGTATATACCAAAGAATATATACTGTGTGTATTACACATTTAGGACTTTAAAATGTACTCACCTAGTTGTACTTGCCTAGTACAACTAGGCCAGTTTGGTACTGTCACTTGTGCAACTATTGGTTTTGGTACTGTAGTGTATGTAATGTATTAAATTGTTAAAATACTTGCATGTCAGTTAGGTCCTAAGTAATCACGAGTTATCATCTTTTAGCTTGTTCTAAACATCGCGTGCAGAGTCTTGCCTGTTTCTTCATGTAATTGCAAGTAACTTATCTCTGCTCTCTTAATAAACTACTAAAAGAAAAACTGCATCCTATTACATTTTGCTTTATTACTGCTCTTGCTACTTAGTTTGTGAACTGTTTTATTCCATAGATGTTTATGTCCGATAAAGACACTCCTTAAGCACAAATACCAGTCCTTGATACTGCCGTTACAGCATGCTGACCAAAACTTGCACCTCAAGCTTGAAATAAGGATGCACTGACCTCCAAATCTTGAATGCACTTTCCTTCCCTTACTTGCTGAATGTCATTGGATAATGTGGTTTATCACCAAGGAACCTACTGAGGCTGATGGGCATCTTAACTTGAGAATAAGGTCACAACAACCTTACTTCAGCTAAACTTATCATGCACTATTCATCCCACACCATCTGACCTGTGATGACATGCTCTACACTATGGGGTAAGTTTATGCTGTAACATTAATCTTTGGCTTCATTTCTACAAAAATGTGTGTACTCAGAACACAACTTGATTAAGATTTAGGTTTTTTGCACAAAGCCACTTACAATGGGCTACATGTTCATTTTGATCTTGATTTGTGCCTCATCTCCTGCAAAAGCATTCACAGCTTTTTATGTACCAGTAGTTTCACACTGCTTGCTCATGTATTGTATTTTGCATCAACATGGGATAGACGTGTTTGCTACCCGAGTCACACTGTCATCGTGTTTTTTTGAAAACCTTATACTATATCACTGCTGGTTATGGGATGATAACTGTTGGCACCAAGTTACCTGTGGTGGGCTAATTTGTTTACTGATTGTAGTCTCTCAAAATGAGATTGCAGGAATCTCATGACCATGAAAAGGAGATGCCAGGATGCCATCCTTTTGGGTCACTTTATATACTATGGGAAGGTGTATGTGCTCTCTGCGTTAGATCACACCCCAGCCTTAATTTAAGGTTTCAGTAAATATGTTGTCATTTTGTCTTGTATAACTACATGCACCATATGATTCGAGGTTACATCCTATGACAGTAAATAAGAGAACACCATAATCTCCAAAGGTACATATTCATTTTCATCCCATTTCATTTTTAATTTTGGTTAATAAACATACAGTATGTTGTAATCTGTTGGAAATTGAAAATATATGCTATCATAATAAAATATATATTATTTTATTATTATTTAATTTTTATATACAGTATTTAATTCTATATACAGTATCTTATTGTGATGTTATAAACCTCTGTTCTGGACTAATTTATTTTGAAGACAGCTGATGAAGCTAGGGGGCGCTGCAGGGTTGGAGACGTGTGTGGCTGACTGTCTGGTTATTGGTCTGTGTCTATAGTTCACTTCACTGATACTAATTATATAGTTATGGGATGCAGTTAGTGTTGCTTAAGATGATGCTAACTATTTTTTGTCATTGATAAGGAAACTGGCTAATTAATAAGCTGTTGACTTGCATTAAAAGGCTAGAGAATGGTGGTTAGTTATTCCATTGTGGTGTCAATGTGGTGGCTGTGTTGGGCTGTGTGTGTGTGTGTGTTAGTGATTATCAAATTATAATTGTTTAAAAATGGGGAAAGTTCAAATGTTAGATGAAAATGCAAGAGCATCAGATATTGAATAAACATGGAGCCTAAATAAATGTTCAGAAGTGTTGGTTAGATAAGATTTGACACACATTATCTATGGTTTATACAGAGCTATTCATATGCCATTACTCTCTGCACCTCTTTGAGGGGGCCAGGTTCTGGCTCGTGGTCCCCGGTAGGCAACAAGAACTCTGCAACTGATGACTTAGAGTAGTGTGGCACTTAATCAGTTAGCTAGCTTCAGGGAGCCTCTGGGGCTCGCCCAGAAACTGGCATTTCATTACATTCCATGCTGGTTCTATTTCCATTTAGAATTTGCTTCTCTTGGGTAGATTTTACGTTGCCACGTTTTGTGTGATATTATTTTTATGTAGAAAAGTTTTATTTTGTTATTGCTAAACTATTTCAGTATCAGCAGCATCATCCATCATTCATCAGTTATCAATATCCTTTTCTCCATTGTCAGAAGGAGGGAAAGGTATTTCAGAAAAGTGAGGTAAATGCATACAGAGTGGTTCAGGGCCATGCATGGTGCAATCCTCCTCCCCTCCTTATTCATTTTGCTCTTCCTCTTACTGCTTTTGTTTCTCCTCCTCTTGCTTCTCCTTTTATCTCTCCTCTTTCCAACTTACTGTACACACTTCACCACGTTCCCATCAACATGTTCGACACACCAATACTACACTAAGAAACTCCTTGGTCTAAAGAGTCAGGGGCCAGATTCACAAAGCAGTTATGCAAGTACTTACGAACGTCTACATCTTTCCTCAGTCTTTGATGGCTTTGGTTACATTTGTTAAACAGTTTACAAGCATGAAAACTTCCCAATCAACTGTTTTTATTGTTATAAACAGCCTCCTGGTGCTTTGGAGCTCATTAACTGTTAAATAATTGTAAACAAAGCCACCAAAGATTGAGAAAAGATGTACAGGTTCGTGAGTACTTGTGTAACTGCTTTGTGAATCTGGCCCCAGACATCCATCTTGAGGCTGGTGTATACAGTATTTAGTTGTCAGTTTTAAAGCCTGATACCATGTACAGGCAGATTTAGAGGTACATAGATTAGAAGATTTTTTAATTTTAGTTATTCTTGTAAAAGTTATTCCCCTGTGTCTTATTCAGATCTTACTTGACACTCAATTTTTCAATGTAATAATATTCAGACTTTGCACAATATTTCCAGTGCCACTTTACAAATGAGTAGAAATATTACATTTCTAGACAACTTATTAGTCATGGCCTTTCTTTCCTGACAATAGTTATTATGGTTAAATGAAATTAGACAAAAATGCCATGTATACATTTCCCAGTTTATAATATTTTTATATCTTTCTGCTATTGCCAGGAATTAGTGGACTCTCTGGTTAATGGTAATGTAGATCCATCTGTGAAGAGACAGAGAGTTGATGGTACCCCATCTTGGCTTGCTCACTTGTCAGGATCAACTGATCCAGTTTCAGTCAAGCTACTTTGTGGTGCTGATCTCCTGGAGTCTTTTGCTAAACCGGGCCTCTGGAAAGATGAGGATGTAAGTTTTGTACTGTCCAGTATCTGATGATTGAAGTTGGTTTATATAAGTTTCCATCTTTGAGAGCTTCATACAAAATATTTTGTTGGCAGTTCTTGTATCAGTATTCTTTTAATAGTTAAAAAATGTTAATGTTATCTATTTCAGATTGAGGCTTTGGTTGGAAAGTTTGGTCTTGTTGTCATTACCCGGGAAGGAAGCAATCCATACAAATTTATCTACGAGTCTGATGTTTTGACTCGACACCAGGTATGCTTGTGCTACCCTCTTGTTTATTTTTAGAAACCTGGTTCTGTGTGTTGCAAACGATGTTCCATCACACAATCACTTATGCAGGATTGCTCTAAACTTTTCACTAACTGCATGTCTTCCCATTAATCATGCATGAATTCTTACTATACTTGTATAGCATTCTTGGGATAGGGGTGCAAAAACAAATGGAAGCATTATTAACCTTGGTGATAGGAAGCTTGTACTTAGGCTTTTTGAGGTCCTTCTAGGAAAACTACTAATTTTCCAAAGGCTGCAACCCACATCAGTTGCCTAACCAGGTACCTATTTACTGCTAGGTGAACAGAGGCATCAGGTGAAAATAACATGTTCCCAACCATTTCTGTCTTGCCTGTGGATTGAATGTGGATCCTTGATTATGAGTCATAGACATCCGACTAGTGAGTACAGGGTACAGTGAATGATGATGGATTGGTAAATAATGATGAATTGGATTTATAAATAGAGTAGTGAATATTGCTGATTTTTTTTTTAGTGAGTATTGATGAATTGAATTAATGAGTAATGATGATAGATTTGTGAGGGGAAATGAATAATGAAGACCAGGCAGCAATGTATGAAAACATTTTCAAGGATGCTTGTTGTATTCTGCATCTTTGAATAGAGAACAGGGATACATGATGTTGGAACGTGATTTCTGGTAGGGCCTTGGTGGCTCCCTGAAGCCATCTTACTGAAATGGCGTACCCTACTGAGTCACATCAGCCATAGAGTCCTGCATGGCCTACTGGGGATCAGAACCCAAAACATGGGTCTTCTCACAGATGAACAAGGATCAGGGAATTGCTATGATCATCCATGCAGTGGACTGTTTTGATTTGCCTATCTTTCTGGGCACCTTCCTTGGTGGTGGCAAAGATGATAACCCTTACGTGTAAAGTGATCATAGTCTTTATTCTAGGTTGTCTGCAATATCATTATATTGCATAGTTATTGCATCATTATATTGATAGTTATTATTCAGACTATCAGCCAGCTTGGTGTCTACCCTCGGGGACCTATGATGTTCGAAATGTTTGCTGCATTGGATGTTGCATTTTCTATCACGTTGTGGGCTGATAATTGGGCTCGGTGGTTTTAGACGTCTAACAGAATACTAGTGTCTCATTATTTGGTCATGTTCCTGATCCCAATTTGGCTTGTGTTGCCCAGGATTAGGTTTTTCATCCCAGGGTCTTATCTCATGAGTGTCATTGCTGCTCTCCTTCTCCCTGGTAAGTCCTGTTTTCCATCTTCTTCATTGTTAAATAGCTGTAGGGAGTCACAAAGGAACTCTCCAGAAACCCAGCACTGAATGTAATGAAGTGCCTCGGTGGCTCTCTGATTTCCTCCTCTCCTTCTAGTTGAGTTGGTTCATGGTCTATAAACTCCAGACTGAGTCAAGATGGTCCAGAAGCTAGGAGTTTCTGGGGTGCTGCCATACAATGGAAATGGAAAGATAAGCAGGGATAATGGGAAATACTGTACACTGAATTGGGAAAGGGAGTAACTTATAAAGAGGAAACAAAGAGTTGCAGTATAGTCATAAGGAATGTCAGGTTGGAGATGAGTGGCAACATTCCAGGAAGTGCTGTGGTTGGGGGGGTTTGATCTCATTTCTGAGTAAATCATTTGCAGTCATTTGGCTTTTTCAGTGTTTCATTTATTATGAACCTTGCATAGTTCATAGTGCTTTGCTAACTTTCTGTACATTTTCTCAGTAAGGATGATTGTAGCAAATCCTTGCTCCCTGAACCTCTGTGAGGATGAGGGGCTAGGCACTGGTTCTGGTCCCCCAGTGGACAATTCAGGACTCCTATGGCTGATATGACTCGGTAGAGGGAGCCATCTCGGCGAGATAGGGCCTCGGTGGCTCCTTCACCCTATCAGAAAGAGTAATTTCATTTCAGTCATTGCTGGGTTTTTTAAAATTGCCCTAAAATTTTCCATATTGAGACCATTAGATTTATGACAAAAAACTCCTTAGAAACTGCACTTTTCTGAGGGGAGTCCCTGTGGCTCCCTGGAGCTGTCACACTGATGTGTGTTATATTAGTGCTAAAAAAAATGGTAGCTAGTAACAGTTGATTGACAGTAGAGAGGCGGGCCGAAAGAGCAAAGCTCAACCCCCGCAAGCACAACTAGGTGAATACAGTAGAAACACCACTAAGGCACACAATGGGCACTGAAATCTGAGGCCAGAGTTAATGTCTGCTCCAGACCACATCAGTTAACGAACTGAATGGCTTGGGTAGCCAGTAGCCAGTGCTGGGGGTCCGGGGATCCCCCCTCTCCCTCCTGAGGGGAGTTACCAAGTGGGTGTTTTTGTTATGCCTACCTTTCTGGGTACTAACCCCCAGTCGATGGCAGACATGGAATGCTTCCAACCACATTGGGGGTTTCTATAGGCCATTGCTCCCTTTGCCTCTCTGAGGGGGGGGGGGCAGGTTCTGGCTAGTGGTGTCCGGTAGGCTGAACTCCAATTGATTGATGCTCTAGACTAATATAACTAATATAACACATATCAGCGTCATAGCTCCAGGGAGCCTCTGGGGCTCACCCAGAAAATGGCGTTTCATTACATTCAACGCTGGTTTTTTCCATCATATTGAATCATGTCAGTAATAGATTTGTTGCTATATTTGCATAATTTTTTTAATATTCCAGCGAAACATCCACATTGTGACCGAATGGATTGCAAATGAAGTGAGCTCAACAAAGGTTCGAAGAGCCCTTAGGCGAGGAGATAGTGTGAAATATTTAGTTCAAGACTCTGTCATTGATTATATCTACAAGAATGCCCTCTACAACACACACAACAAGTGAGTATGGCTGCACATAGGCTTATATATGTTACTCTTGTATACATGTTACTCTTGTATACATGTTACTCTTGTACAGTATATAGTCTATATTGTAGGGAGTCTTTAATTATGTCTATAATACGACAAGTTTTTTTTCACACTTTCCTGCCTTTTACAGTATATTTTATTTACATTTTTTGGGAATGGGATTATCAAACTTTCTTTGCTTTGAAGCATGATGGTTTTTAATATATAAAATAATTGGCAAGCTCAATATTGATTTAAGTATTTACAGATCTTTTAATTGCAGATCTTTTAGAAATTGTTAAAGGCTAACTTGTCTTATTAATTAGAATTACTTGTAATGTAAATAAGGGAAAAGGGATGTACCATGTGAAAGACTGGGCCGGGGATCCATCATCAGAGGCACCACTGAATAAAGGGCTTGGCAGGGTTGGAGAAAAAGGTGATTCCCTCTCCATAATAAATGATGGTTGATCAGTTATTTCCCTGTACAAATTAAAATCATTACCTAAGCAGCCAGTCATAACTCGGAGCATATTCTAGGTTGGTAGCTACAACTGACTTTCAAAAAGTGAGGGAAATAATGATACCGTATCAACAATAAAGTTGTATGAATTTTAGCTGTTACCTGTACACATGGTGGTTACTGGTTTGATATCTTTAGAACTTACTGTGTAAAACGATATAGATTTTTAGCAAATTACCTTCTCTTGAATACGGTTGGGGTTTTCCACCATAGTAACAATTGGTTTGGCTTGTGATCTTCAGATATTTAATTTTCTTCAAGCAGTTAGTTGTTTTAATGCATTTATACTTTCAAGTGGGGGTTTATTCTCACTCTTGGATTGATCTTGAATCCCTTGGCCTCCTCTTGCCTCGTAGAGTGTCATATTCTGGCCCTGGCATCCTGTATGTAACGGCAAGTGTCAGGCCTGGTAAAACTTTCTAAGGCTTGGTTCGTCCAGTGCACACCTTCTTGAGCTACTCAGTAGACGCTCCCAGATAATGCATGGACAAACTATAAGGACTTGGCTGCAAAGATAAATGGGGATGCACCTAAGTGGGATACAAATGAGTACACCATAATCAGGAGGGTCGCAAAGCAGCAATTTGTAAAAATATTGCAATAGTAGCCAAGGACCAACCTAAGCTGTTGCATTCCCATATATGGAGAAAAAGAATAATACAAAACTATGTAATAAGAGTGGGAGGAACACTCTTGAAGAATGACAAAAAGTGTACAGTACTTAGCAAGGGATTCCAAGTTGTCTACAAATCATAACCAGAATAGTATCCAAGAAGAGGTGATAACAGATGGCCAGAAGCAACACTAGATAAAGTCAAAGTTACTGTAGAAGAGATAAGGACACCTGGAGGAAGTAGCTGTAGTAAAAGCAGGAGAATAGGATAAAGTATCATCATTGTTATTGAAGGAGACTATAGGGATTGTGTATTGCCCATTAACTAGAGGCTTCAACATAACACTAGAGTTTGAAGAGCTCCTTGAAATCTGGCAAAAGATGAATGTAGCTCCAATATTCAAGAAAGAGGATAAACATGAAGCACTAAAGCAGACGATGAGTGTCAATAACGTGGCTGAAGATAACATGACCAAACTACACGACAGTGTGAAAAAATGACTACATTTCGGTGCATCCTGAACCATTATGAAGTCGTGTAATGACTCAATAATGGTTTAGAACACACCGAAACATTGTCGCTTCTTCACTTTCTGATGTGTGGTTTGGTCATCATGAAGCACTAAACTATAGACCAGGGTCACTAATGTGCATCACATGCTAAATTATTAAAAAAAAATCAAGAACTGAGTAGTGGAACACACGGAACAACAATAATTCAGAGAGGGAAGATCACACCTCACAAACTTGATTGAATTCCTTGAGTGGGTCTCTAAAATAAGTCAAGAATTGGTAGGCTACATCTTCCTAGACTACCAGAAGGCTTTTGAAATAGATTCTCACAAGACATATTCAAGATGGAAAGATAAGCAGGGATAATGGGAAATACTGTACACTGAATTGGGAAAGGGAGTAACTTATAAAGAGGAAACAGAGTTACAGTATAGTCATAAGGAATGTCAGGTTGGAGATGAGTGGAAAATGGGGTTTTGCATGGCCGTCCAATGACTGCTGCTCTTTCTACTTTAAGCAATTGAGTCCTAGAGATGTATGGATATTCTCATGTCTTGTATGGATAGTTGGCAAGCGGAATACATTGAAGGAAAATGTTGTCGACACCACTTGAGTCCAGAGCCTTGAGAGAAAATATGGCAGGAATTTAGCCATTGAAAGAGATAATTATTGCTCCATTACCACTACCATCTCCACTGCCATTACCCCATCACCACAATTACTGCCACCACCTTCACAATTACCACAACCTATACAGTACCTCCTTCACTTTGTATTAGCCTGTAAGCATTGCTTCCCCAGTACTCGTTACACACACTGGCAATGTGTTTGCCTGATAATCTTCATCGCTGATGAATAAAACGTATCTAGTTCATTTACATTAAAAACTTACAAATTTCCCCCCCTGTTATTCTCATTGATATTTCATTAAGGAAATGTCATCCAGTTTAGGCTACTTGTACAGTACTATCATTATATTTATATAGTTATTCATAGTAGTCATAAAAAAAGAGAGCAAATCTGATACACAAAATTTACAAATGAAAGGATCAGGGTCTGACTGGTGGGCTGGAGGTTCTTCGTGCCTGTTATAAGAAACACCTGCCATTATTATTTTAAGTCACTAAACAAACTTAGATACATATAACAATTTCATCGTGGCAGTGTTTGCAATTGGTTGGCATATAAAGTTTGCTTCTTTTATATAAATCTGCCTTTTAATTCTGGAAGTAGAATAAACTTCTACTTCTGAAAGTACAGTAACTCACATTTTAGTACAGTATAATAATAATAATATAGTGAATTGTGAAAAGCAGTGAGTAAGCCTCACAGCTGCTCTACCTATGCTGTAATATTTTAGTGTGAGTGATTCATCATGGTCTCCATTGATGTCCTCTTCTGTGTAGACACCTAGTATTAAAGAAAGTGAGTTGTCTCCTCAGGTCAGCAAAGGGTTCAAGCCTCATATCAGTAGAGAAGAGAAGGAGCACCAGCATCTTGAAGACACACAGTATAATTCCATGGCATAGATATAGACAGTGCCACATAATATAGATTTTCGTGGATTCAGTGCTAAGGTAGCCTGGACTAGCTATCTGTATATTTGTCTTAATTTTTGTACCCTTATGTAATTTTCTGTGAGCTTATTCCAAGTCATAGTCATTCCTGCTTTCTCAACTTCAGGATTAAGCAACAGCATTGAATTGCTTCCCAAATTCTTTTTATTTGTCATGGTCTCAATGGTCATTAATTTCAAAGGCTGTATGTTCTCTATGCATAACCTCACATTTTGTCATAACCTTTCATAGATTCTAGAGAAATGTAGAGATAATTTTGCAAGATTAAACATTTGATGATTATTTTATTTTGAACATCTAATTTTCCTTGATATGGAAAGAGAATTCTTTTAAATAATTTTTTTCAGAGCTAACTATTTTAGTTGATACTGTCAAAATACACATCATCATAACACATCATCTGTAGCCGAGTGTGAAAATTAAATTAATGTGAGGTTAAGGTGGGAATGTTGGGCAATGTCATGAGAGGGGAGGGGGAGGAGTGAAGGTGGAGGACCAAGCTGTGTCATGAGGGAGGGGAAGGGAGTGAAGGTGGAGGACCAAGCTGTGTCATGAGGGAGGGGGGAGGGAGGATCAAGCTGATACATATAGGTGTAATTTGAGGTGTATCTCTGACGAAGAGATGCACCTCAAATTCCAGTTAGACTGTTCCTGGTACTTAGATTTAAATTATTAGTTTCACATGATTATTAAGTTCAATCATAGACAAGAATGGTTGTAGTAAGTTGGAGCTTGCCCCTGTGCCTATGTGGAAAGGAGAATTGGGTGAAAACTGGAGCTGTGAGAAACTTTGCTATTACCCAATTCTGATTCTTTTTCCCTGGTGATGGCACAGTGGCTTACATGTGGGAGGGGAGGGGGGGGGTAACTCCATACTCCAATTTGAATAATGCTGATACTCTAGATTCCAAAATAAAATGTGTATCGTGTTACTTTTGAAAGACATCCCATGGTCGGCCGAGCGAACAGCGCGCTGCACTTGTGATCCTGTGGTCCCGGGCTCGATCCCTGGCGCCGGCGAGAAACAATGGGCAGAGTTTCTTTCACCCTATGCCCCTGTTACCTAGCAGTAAAATAGGTACCTGGGTGTTAGTCAGCTGTCACGGGCTGCTTCCTGGGGTTGGAGGCCTGGTCGAGGACCGGGCCGCGGGGACACTATAGCCCCGAAATCATCTCAAGATAACCTCAAGTTGGTTGTCGACTACCTGTTGAAGATTCCGAGGGTTAATGTCCCCCCATGGCCCAGTCACTAATCAGGTCTCCTAGTTGCTGGTCTGATCCACCAGGTTGTTTGATGCAGCTGTGAGCAGCCTGACATGAGTCACAACCTGGTTGATTAGGTATTTTTTGTAGATTTTTTTTCTACAGCATTGCAGCATTTTTTTTTTAGCACAATACTAAAGTACAGAATAACAATGTGTAGATTAGAAAAATGTAGATTTCTGTACAGGTATCATAATTTTTGTAAGTATAGAATTTGTGATGATTAAGCATCATCCTATGACATCAATTTTGTTACTGATCACATGTATTCACCAGTTTTCTCTTTTGTGCATGCTTTCTTCTGGGACTCTTCAGCAGTAAGTATTTCTATACCCCATTTATGCTAACACCCTCCCCTAACCTCGACACTGATGTTCTTCTCCCGCCTCCCAACTTTACGCTTCATCAAGGGCATACTCGTTCTCGGAATACATTACTTGCTAGTCGTCAGCACCCTATAAGGAAGAGCAGCATTTTCAGCGATATGGATGACACATCCCCT